ACAATAAATAAGAAGAATCTACATCAAGTGTCAACAATACGTCATCATTGGCATCTTCGCTTATGACAATAATTGTGTCAAATGCAAAATTTGCGGTAGAAATTTTTGACGGGTCAGGACATTTTGGAATGTGGCAAGGTGAGGTTCTAGATGTCCTTTTTCAACAAGGGCTGGATCTTGCCATTGAAGAAAAGAAATCGGATGTTATTGGAGAAGAAGATTGGAAAATTATCAACCATGTTGCTTGCGGTACCATTCGATCATACCTTGCTAGAGAGCAGAAATATCCATACACAAAGGAAATTTCTGCAAGTAAATTATGGAAAGCACTAGAGGATAAATTTTTGAAGAAAAACAGTCAAAATAAATTGTACATGAAGAAGAGACTGTTTCGCTTCACCTATGTTCCTGGTACCACAATGAATGAACATATCACCAGTTTGTTGTTGTTGGTCACAGATTTGCAAAATATTGGATGCAACTTTTGATGATGGTAACTTGGCCTTGATGTTGTTGGGGTCACTTCCTGATGAGTACGAGCACCTTGAAACTACTCTACTCCATAGAAATGACGAAGTTTCTCTCAGAGAAGTTTGTTCGGCTTTGTACAGCTATGAACAAAGAAAGGGAGAAAAGCAAAAGGGCGGAGAAGGAGAAGCACTGGTTGTGAGGGGTCGTCCTCAAAATCAAATGAGGACAAAGAAGGGAAGATCCAAGTCAAGATCTAGACCCAGCAAAGATGAATGTGCCTTTTGTCGAGAAAAGGGGCACTTAAAGAAAGATTGTCCGAAGTTGAATAATAAGGCCAAACATTAACAATGGAAAGGCCATTATGGATTCAAATGTAGCTGATTGTGATGATTCAGACTTCTCATTAGTTACAACAGAGTCATCAACATCATCAGACATATGGTTGATGGACTCGGCTTGTAGCTATCATATGTGTCCCAACAGGGACTGGTTTGTGGATTTTCATGAAGGAGAATATGGAGTCATCCACACAGCGGATAACAGCCCTCTTACCTCATATGGTATTGGTTCAATACGATTAAGGAACCATGATGAAATGATTAGAACATTAATAGATGTTCGATATGTACCGGATTTGAAGAAGAATCTCATCTCTGTAGGAGCCCTAGAATCAAAAGGGTTCAAAATCATTGCAGAAAATGGAGTAATGAGAGTATGCTCTGGTGCACTAGTGGTAATGAAGGCCAATCGGAAGAACAATAACAGGTACCGTTATCGCGGTAGTACAGTTATTGGGATAGCGACAGTGACATCCAGTGACAAAAAAGAGGCAGAAGCAACCAGGCCATGCGCTTGGGACATGCTGGAGGAAAATCTTTGAAAACTCTATCAGATCAAGGATTGTTAAAGAGAGTAAAGGCTTGCAACTTGGAGTTTTGCGAGCATTGTGTCAAAGGGAAACAGACAAGGGTTAAATTTGGTACAGCGATCCATAATACTAAAGGTATTTTGGATTATGTACACTCGGATGTTTGGGGTCCTTCCAAAACACCTTCTAAAACAGACAAGGGTTAATACTAAAGGTATTTTGGATTATGTACACTCTGATGTTTTGGGTCCTTCCAAAACACCTTCATTGGGTGGGAAACACTATTTTGCAACCTTTGTTGATGATTTTTCCCGAAGAGTGTAGCTGTATACAATGAAGAGGAAAGATGAAGTGTTGGGAATTTTTCTCAAATGGAAGACGATAATGGAGAATCAAACAGGCAGGAGGTCAAGTGTATTCGCACAGACAATGGAGGTGAATACAAAAATGATCATTTCAATAAGGTCTGTGAAAATGATGGCATCATCCGACACTTCACTGTCAGACATACACCACAACAGAATGGAGTGGCAGAACGTATGAATCGGACCTTGCTGGAGAAGGTACGGTGTATGTTGTCCAATGCTGGCTTGGGCAAAGAATTTTGGGCTGAGGCAATTACATATGCATGCCACCTCATTAATCGTCTACCAGCTGCTGCTATTGATTGCAAGACACCATTTGAAAAATGGTATGGAAAGCCTGATGTAGATTATAACTCTTTGCACGTGCTTGGCTCAACTGCATATTATCATGTGACAGAGTCAAAATTGGATCCAACGGCAAAGAAGGCTATTTTATGGGGATTACTTCTGGAGTCAAAGGATATCGCTTATGGTGTCCTACGATAAAGAAAGTAATATTCAGCAGGGATGTTACCTTCGATCAATCTGCTGTGGTAAATAAGGTAACAAATAAAGATACCAAACAAGATGATGGTGCTTCTAAGCAGGTGGAGTTTGAGGGAAAATTTATTTTTCTTACACAAGAAGCAGAGGAGGAAACAAATGATGATTATCCTCTGGAAGAAGAGCCACTTGAGAGGGAGGTTCCAACTCAAGAACCTCAACAACAACTTGAATCAATAGCAACCAGCAGGCTAAAAAGGACAATAACGAAACATGTTCGTCTCATAGAGGCAGTTGCTTGTGCAACCTCAATTGTAGCTGATGATGTTCCTACCACTTATAAAGACGCAGTCCAAAGTTCAGAAGAAGATAAGTGGAGGATTTCCATGAATGATGAAATACAGTCCCTTCATCAGAATCATACATGGAGATTGGCCAATCTCCCGAAGGGAAAGAAAGCAATTGGGTGCAAATGAGTATTTGCAAAGAAATAAGGATTTCCTAACCAAGAAGATGTTCGCTACAAAGCAAGATTGGTGGCCAAAGGATATGCTCAAAAGGAGGGAATTGATTACAGTGAAGTATTTTCTCCAGTTGTAAAACATTCCTCTATTAGAATTATGTTGGCTTTGGTAACACAGTTGGATTTGGAACTAGTTCAGATGGATGTAAAAACTGCGTTTTTACATGGAAACTTGGAGGAGGAAATCTACATGACTCAGCCAGAAGGATTCAAAGTTGCTGGAAAGGAAAACATGGTGTGCAATCTTGAAAAATCGTTGTATGGATTGAAACAATCTTCTAGACAATGGTACAAGCAATTTGACAAGTTTATGTTGCGGCAAGGGTACAAGAGAAGCAAATACGATCATTGTGTGTATTTGTGCAAGTTTAAAGATGGTTCCTTTATTTATCTTCTTCTATATGTTGATGATATGTTGATAGCTTCCAAGAATTCAGAAGAAATTGATAAGTTGAAGATTCAACTAAAGAAGGAGTTCGAAATGAAGGATCTGGGTGAGGCAAAGAAAATTCTTGGCATGGAGATAATAAGAGATAGACGTTCAAAGAAACTCTATTTATCTCAAAAAGAATATTTGAAGAGAGTACTACAACGTTTTGGCATAGATGAAAAGACTAAGCCGGCTAGTACTCCATTTGCTCCCTATTTTAAGCTAAGTACTACTATGTCGCCAAAAGATGAAGCTGAACGAGAGTATATGTCAAAGGTACCATACACAAATGCTGTTGGTAGCTTGATGTATGCAATGGTCTGTACGAGACCTGACATTTCACAAGCTGTAGGAGTTATTAGCAGATAAATGCATAATCCAGGAAAGGAGCATTGGCAAGCTGTGAAGTGGATTCTACGATATATTCATAATATTGTAGATGTTGGGTTAGATTTTGAGCAGGAATGCAATCAGTCTGTAGTTGGATATTGTGACTTAGATTTTGCGGGTGATCTGGACAAACGAAGATCAACTTTTGGTTATGTGTTTACTTTTGCAAAGGCACCAGTTAGTTGGAAGTCTACTCTGCAGTTAACAGTTGCTTTGTCTACAACAGAGGCGGAGTACATGGCTATTACAGAGGCTGTGAAAGAGGCAATTTGGCTTTAGGGGTTGCTAAAAGAGTTTGGTGTTGAACAAAAAAGTATCATAATTTTTTGTGATAGTCAAAGTGCTATTCAATTAGTGAAGAACCAAGTTTATCATGCAAGGACGAAGCACATTGATGTTCGGTATCATTTCGTAGGAGAAATCATAGAAGAAGGTGGAGTCACAGTGAAGAAAATTCATACTACAGAGAATCCTGCTGATATGCTGACAAAAGTGGTGACTGCGGTCAAGTTTCAACATTGTTTGGATTTGATCAACATTGTTGAACACTGAAGGTTGAAGATGAAGCACAACCAAAATTTGTTATTAAGAGAAAATTGAAGATGTGGAATTTTTCCAAGGTGGAGATTTGTAGAATATGTCAAAGGTTCATCCCACATTGGTGGGGGACTTCATTTGGGGGAGAATTTCTCCCTATAAAAGAAGGCCTAATGTTTAGGATTTAAACACACCTCTCATTTGCCTTCTCATCTTCTTAAGGCATTTGTATCTTCTCTCTTTAGTATTATTTCACTTGTATTTTTGAAGTGGAATAAAATATTGGTTGTGTCCGAGGAAGTAGGCAAAATTGGCCGAACCTCGTAAATTCTGGTGTTCCTTTTTATTGTTGTTTTATTGTCTTATTTATTATTTAGTGGCTGTCATAATTTTTGGTATAGTAGTTGTGACTCATTCACACTATATACATTTGGCTTCCGCAACAATATTGTCCTCTCTATAGTTTTATATTCTACTCTTTTTTCTCTTATTTTTTGTTTCTTTTATGTGTCTTCTATATATGGAAGAAGGTGGTAAAAAAATGTGATTGGTATAGATGAATTTCGTGAGATAATGAATTTTTTTAAAGATGTTGGTCCGATTCTTGGAGGGAAAGGGATTATCCCTATATCTAGAGTAATGATTTTTAGTTTTTGTTGAATAAGTGATGGGTAAGGAAAAGTCAGAAGAAAGGAAAAAAAGAAAAAAAGAAAAAAAAGAAAAGAAAAAGAAAAGAAAGGGAAGACAAGAAAAATGAGCAGAAAATTAGCACCACAAATAGCATTAGAACAAGGAGTAAGAAACTAGGTACTAGAGAGAGAACGTCTGGCGATTGTGAAGCAAGGCAGCTTACAGACGCCATTAACGACCTACTTCTACTCCTTTGCTACAAATCTTATGGAATTTCTACAAAATCCTACTGAATTCACTAAGATGACAAGAGTAATTACGCCGGAAAGTGGAATACCACAAAAACTAGCACCGATGCAACTATTATATTGGCTCCCTGGCATGGGAAGTGCTCCGACGGTAATGCAAGCTCCACCAGAAGTAGATAATACGACCATGCAACCGGAGGAAGCAACGATGTTTACAGCAGTAAGGAAATTGACATACTCAATTGGATCTCAAAAGCAGACTATGGCGGAAGTAGTAAAAGGGAACAGAACACAAACACAGGGCATGCAATTAAAATTCTACCCACCGATGGTGAAGGATGGCGTGAAAACAGCAAAACTAAACACCAAGGAGATAGAATTGCAAGTTCAAAAATGGAAGACAGCTTTAATAGGGTATGTATTGGGTGGAAATCCATCATTTAAAGATATGTTAAAGTTTGTATATGGTGTATGGAATTTTGTTACAACTCCAACAGTTTTGATGCATGATGATGGCTATTTCATTTTTAAATTCGAATCTATGGAGGACAAAGAGATGGTAATGCAGCAGGGACCGTATACAACTAACAATAGGCCTATGATTCTAAAAGAATGGGATCCAAATTTCCAGATCAAAGAAGAATCCATGAGAATTGTTCCACTGTGGGTCAATTTTCCAGGTCTGCCTATTCAATGTTGGACTGAGGAAAACCTAGGAAGGATTGCTAGCCTTCTAGGTAAGCCAATTTGTACTGATAGATTAACTGCGGAATGTGAGAGGATCTCATATGCTAGAGTACTAGTTGACATGGATATCACACAGCCTTTACCAGAGGAAGTCCACATTGAAATCCCCGGTCAAAAAAGTTGGATTCAAATGGTGGAATTTGAGTGGAAACCAAAATTCTGCCTAGAGTGCAACAACTTTGGGCATGATAAAGGAAAATGTCAACAGGTGGAGGAACAGAAAGAAGAAGCCAAACAGAAAAGAAGAAGAAAGAAGAGGAAATGATATGGAAGGCAAAGGAAGCAAAGGAATAGCAAACAGATACACCTGAACAGGAAGTGAAACAGGAACAAAATAAAGGCAAGCAGAAGATGAACACACAAAATTTGAAGCATAAGGAGATCAATTATGAGGAACTAGCAAGTAGGAATAGGTTTGCACCATTGATGATAAAAGAGAAGCCACCTGAAAAGACTATGCAGGAAGAAACTAGAAATGATGAAGCAGGACAAAGGAGCCTAAACAGCACTCCTAATGCTCAGACACCATGATCATCATATCTTAGAATGTGAGAGGACTGAATAAGTCCCACAAGCAGCGAGAAGTGAGAAAATTCTTGCTGTAAAACAAAGTGGATATGATAGCTTACCTTGAAACAAGAGTCAAAAAGCAGAATGCAAAGGATATCCAAAGGAAAATAGGGAATGAATGGAAAATTGAAGACAATTATGAATATGCACCAAATGGTAGAATATGGTTAATGTGGAAGGAAGTCAATGTCAATGTCACAGTACTGAAGAAGACAGAGCAGTTGATTCATTGTTATGTACAAGATAAGAACTTTGCATTCACTTGCTACATATGTTTATGGATTGCATACTGTTCAGCATAGAAAATCACTATGGGGAAACCTAAAAAATATACAATTGAATGATACTTGGCTTATAATAGGAGATTTCAATAGTGTACTCAATGTTGATGATAGAATAAATGGTAATCCTGCACAGCAAGCTGAAGTAGTAGACTTCCAAAATTGTATTGAAGATATAGGAGTGGGGCAAATTACCAAAAGAGGAGGTAACTTCACATGGTGTAACAAAAGAGATGCTGAAATCGGGATATACAGTCATATAGATTGGGCCTTTGGGAATGCTGAATGGTTCAACCTATACACTGGTATTGAGGCTCACTACATGCTTCCAGGATGTTCAGACCATACACCAATATTGATCAGTACTGAGGTGCAGAAAATGAAAGTTAACAGACCTTATAGATTGTTAACTACAGTAATGAAGCAAGCAGAATACAAGGAGATTGTGCAAAGAATATGGAAAAAAAAGAAGTGGAGGAGATGCTATGAGCACTGTATGGAGAAAATTGAAGCAGATTGAGAAAGAGGCTAGAAGTATACAAAATGAGCATTCATCAGTGGACAAAAAGCTAAACAAGATGAGAGAAGACCTGAATCAGATCCAAGGAAAATTGAATGAAGATTATTTTAATGCAGGACTGATAGATGATGAAAGAAAATGCTTAGCAGATATTGAGAAGTGGGAAGCAGTCCAAGAACAAATACTAAGGCAGAAATCAAGAGCTACATGGATCCAAGTAGGAGACCAAAATACAAAGTACTTTCATGCTTGTATGCGAGCTAGACAAGCAAGAAACAAAGTTAGCTGCATTTACAATGATGCTCAGGTGAAGATCACAGAACCAAAGCTGATTCAACAGGAGTTCATCCAGTTCTTCAAGCAGTTGATGGGGAAAGCAGCAGACCAAATGCCAGGGATTGATCTAAATATAGCAAGAGATGGGCCATGCTTAACAGTGATTCAACAACAGCAACTGTTAGCTCCAATTACTAGTGAGGAAATAAGCCAAATAGTGAGGAACCTGCCTAATGACAAGGCACCAGGCATTGATGGGTATCCTGCAGAATTTTTCAAGGAGTACTGGTCAATCATAGGGCAAGAAGTTACAGATGCTGTGCAGAATTTCTTTCAGAAAGGAAAGCTAATGAAGGAGGTTAATTGCACTACTTTCACATTGATTCCAAAGGTCAAAAATCCCAGTCTTGTTAAGGAATTTAGGCCTATTGCTTGTTGCTCAACAGTATACAAGATCATAGCTAAACTCTTAACAAATAAACTGAAAATGGTGGTGGATTACCTGGTTGGACCTACTCAGTCTGCTTTTATTGAAGGGAGAAATATACTAGATAATGTGATAATGGCACATGAACTAATCAAAGGATATTCTCAGAAGAATGTGTCACCTAGGTGTATGATAAAGGTGGACATTAGAAAAGCCTACGATTCTGTGGAATGGGGATTCTTGAGAGCAGTATTATTGGAATTTGGTGTTCCATTTAAGCTAGTGGAATTGATTATGACATGTGTTAGTACAGTAAGCTACTCATTATTGCTGAATGGAAGTCTAACTGAAAAGTTTGAAGCAAGAAAAGGCTTACGACAAGGGGATCCCATGTTTACCTGTTTGTTCTAGCCATGGAATATCTCAACAGATCTCTGAAAGCTCTGACAAAGACACCAGACTTCAATTTTCATCCTAAATGCAGCAAACTCCAGATTGTCCACATCTGCTTTGCAGATGACCTTCTTATGTGTTGCAGGGCTGATGAAATATCAATGAAGATGCTGATCAGATGTTTCCAACAATTCTCTGAGGTTTCAGGACTGCATGCTAATATGGACAAAAGTTCATTATATATAGCAGGAGTTAAAAGGGAATTCAAAGACAAGATGTTAGCTGAATTGCAATTATCAGAAGGGACCTTACCATTCAAATCCTTGGGAGTTCCATTGGCTGCAAAAAAGATCAGCATACAACAATGTATGCCCCTGGTGGAAAGAATTGTGGACAAAATTAGAAGCTGGACCTCCAAGTTCCTTTCATATGCAGGCAGATTACAGCTTATCAAGAGTGTTTTGTTTGAAATGCAGACTTATTGGGCTCAAGTATTCCTCATCCCTAACAAGATTGTTAAAATGGTAGATAGCATATGCAGGAGGTATTTATGGACTGGAAGCAATAAGAACACTCAGAGAAATCCTATATCTTGGGAGACTTTGTGTAAGCCAAAAGCAGCAGGAGGACTAAACATAATCAATTATGAAACATGGAACAAGGCAGCAATAACAAAGTTGTTATGGGCAATAGTGAACAAGAAGGATAAACTCTGGATAAAGTGGATACATGGTTAATACATAAAGAGGCAAGATATAGCAAGTATGGAAGTTCCTAAACAACCTAGTTGGCTTGTAAGGAAAATATACAATGCAAGGGAATGGTGGGCAAATGATATGCAGAGAATGCAGGCCTGTGTGAAGAATGGGAAATTCAGCATCAAAACAGCATATATAAAAAAGCTCTCTAGAATGGCCTAAAGTGAGGTGGAAAGTTGTAACAATGATCAATGGTAGTCTGCCAAAGCAACAGTTCATAATGTGGATGGCAATGCATAGAAGACTGGCAACAGTGGATAGATTGATGAAATGGGGAATTCAGGTTGAACAGGGATGTGACCTGTGTGAAAAAGATATGACTGAGACTCATGAACACTTATTCTTTGAGTGTTCATACTCAAAGAAACTATGGGAAAGTATGTTAACATGGTTGGGGTATCACAGAAGAATTCAAGGCTGGGAAGAAGAAGTAAATTGGCTAATCAAGAATGTCAGCAATAGAAACCCAAAGAGAGCTTTACTAGGAGTTGTGTTTGCTGCTGTGATGTACAACATATGGATGGAAAGAAACAATAGAAGATTTCAACAATGCAAGAAGGCAGTACAAGACAGAGCAAAAGATATTGCTGTCCAAATTTATGTAACTGGACAAATGAAGCCAAAATGGAAGCCATTACTGGAACGGTTAAACAACTATCCTAGCTGTGTATAGGATAGTATATATGTTTGTAATAAGAATAGCAACAGAAGAGTTGTATAGGTTTTGTTTATAATTTGTTTTTATTTTGAGATTTGCTCAAGAGTCCATAGAGAGCAGATGGTGTAACTTTGAAACAAAGGTTGGAATAAAAGTTCTAATTTCGACCCAAAAAAAAAAAAAAAAAAACTAGGTGCTCAATATTTCGAAATTAACATGACTACCAAAAATACACGATAATTTTCGTTCCATACATTACTGTTTGAAAATATTTTTGAAGATGTTTGAAACTTTTAAGAACAAGGATGAACAATTATCTGAAATTAACTTATGCTGATGTTTGTTTCACTTTCCGAATTACCATTTTGACATAATTAGAGTTATTAGTATTTCGCCACCTTTTTGAAAATTATTTTAATGGGGAAATTTTTAAGAATTTTTAAAAATAATTTGTGTTTGATTAGTTTAGTTTTTACCCAAACAACAATGGGCTTTCTTTGTTTAGAATATGTTTTTTTAATTTATGAAAAAATATTTTGTTTCTTTGGTCAACAAAATAACTTCACTGTAAGCAGACATTTTCTTCTCCTTGATCTTATCACTTAAAGGGAGGAAAGACCTTTTGTGAAAATATGGATAAATTGTCTTCGAGAATAGACAAGTGAAATATCAAGAACTTACTAAAAAGCTATTCTTTGCGAATAAATTTTGATTGCTATTAATAAAGAATTAATCTAATCCCAAATCAAGACTTTAAAATTAAAAGATATAACTAAAATCAGTATTTGCTTAAAATAAATCTTCTCTATTATATTAAAAGGAGAGTAGTGAAGCATGCGGTTAAGCCAAGTGGCAAGCTAAAATGAAGCCACTTGGCAAGTTTAAAACAACATTAAAAATTTGAATTATAAATGGAAACATATTTAATGGAAGTTGTTTAAATGAATCTTATACATAATCTAAATAGATCTTAGAAAAATCTATTTATATATCTATATTTATATCTATATCTATATCTGTATCTATATTTATATCTATATTGATCCAATCATATATTTTCTTCTATGTTAGCAAGAAATATGGGGATAAAATATAATAAAAAATATAAAAAATATAAAAATACATAAATTTAGATAACCTATGACTATTTATATTTTGGAGTAAGTTAAAATATAAAATAAAACTAAAATTTACTTAAGATGTTAAAGATTTATTGAGTTTAAAATTAAAAAAATTCAAGCAGCAAAATAAGATCTTACATAAAGTATACAAATTATTTATAAGTTAAGAAAAAAATTAAATAATCAGTAAAAACTATTTTAATAACAAGAATAATAAAGTCACATTAATAGAGTAATTAAATATTACGGTAAAAACTATTTTATGCATAAAATATTATAACGTTTAGATATAATGTGTTCAAATAATTAAGAAAATATTTTTGTATGATTAATATTTGAATTGAGTGCTGTTAATTTAAGTTTGAAAGCATAACATAAATTTTTGAAAATACGGTCCAATTTAAAAATAGAATGATAAAAATTATTTGAATTTGAGATGAAAAAGTTATTTAATTTTTATTTATATTATATTAGGTAGAATACATATTAACTTCAAACACGATAATAAGAATCCACATGACAATGAT